AAGAAGTTCATTTTTGTTCATTAAGGATAATTTTTGTTTTGTTTTGTTCTATTTAGCTTTGCTTTTCTCTCTGGTTGCCACCAGTCAACTCAATTTAATTGGGAACTCTAAAGATTCCTTTTACAACCACAAAACCCTGTGTATATATATTTAATTTGCATACTTTCACTAACAAAAAATAACTTAACTGGGGAGCAAGGATTTCTAGTAAAAAGAATGCTGCTGTTGAATGTCTGGAACATTATGACAGCAGAGCAGCAGCCATTCTGTTTGGCAGAGGAAGGTTCTGGAACCCTCAGAGTACCAGGATGAGAAAGGCCCATGGACTGGCCAGACTCTCTTAGGCGCTACTTTTTCTGCTCCCTCTGTGGCTGTACCTGTTTCCTGTTCTGTAATGAAGACTTTCACCTGCTACACACTGACCTCCTGCTTGAGTGGGCACCTGGAAGATCTGCCCATTGGCAGGTGCAGGGAAGCATGCAGAACATTCATCAGAGAGCATGCCCTCTCCCAAGTGTCCCCACTCAGGAGTCTCCTGGGCATCCCAGCCTTGCTCATCTTCATAGCCTAGGGTTTTTGTTCCCTTGATTCAATTTGGATTCCATACCCACACCTGGGCTCCCTCCTGAATCTCTAATGTTTACAACATACAATCAACTACAAAACTCCAAATAAACAACCCACATACAGTCTTAAAAAGAAGGTTGACAGGAAAGGATGGATCCACAGGAGGGGCTGGGCTTTCTACTTGTAGGGTGCCTCCTACATCCTTCCTCCTTCCTGGTTCCCTTTCTGTTCTTGACAATGTTGGACCTTCACCCAGTTAAGGATTTAACTTGGAATCCGGTAAGCCAAAGGGAGGGCCCCTCAGTTTTGGAAAGGAGACTGTGGGTCTTGCAAGCAAGCATCATTTGTCCCTGCCTCTGGCAACGATAGTGAGGTTGGCCCAGGATTGGGCAGTGTTTGTTCTGCTGTGCATAAGGTCACTGTGAGTCGGTACCGACTCGATGGTGGTACCAACTCGATGTTTAAGATGCTGAAAGCAGCAGCCTAGACTGACCTCTTGGAGTGGAGGTCATCTAGGAGGCCAACCACTGGGAGTCATCCAAGGGTGAGCCTCAGCACTGGGGAGGCCTGGGGAGTTCTGATTTTGTGGAGGACAGGACCCAGGGCAGCCCAGTATAATAGTGGACAAATGATGGAGATGTGTAGAGGAGGTGGACAAGAGGGGAGGGGAAATGTCCACAGCTGGGGAGGGGACACTCAGAAGCCAGACATGCAGCGTGTCTTAAGGTGGGGTCTTGGGACAGTACATGGATATTTACCCTGGTCTGGGACATGAGAGGATGATGTGGGCCACTTCCCTGCAACAGCCTGGACTGCTTGCTTGCTGACTTCAGACTCTAGGACTCACTGAAATGATGTCTATCTGGCTGGGCTGGCCGGCCCTCAGCTCACCAAAGGGGGTGTTCCAGACCAGCTCTGGGGGTGCGGGTTGGAGGACACTCAGGTTATCATCTGTCCCCACACTTAAAACCACACTGAAGGAAGAAGGCAAGAAAATGGTTTTCCTGAGGAAGTAACTGACATGGTTAGCAGCACTCACTGTCCTATCTGCAATCACTGGGAAAGGCTGCTGGTGTCTCCATACAGAGGAGGGTGGCTCATGGACAAAGCCCACACCAGGGAGACTTTTCCTGGGGAGCAATGACCAGTCCACAGCTGTCCTCCTTGGTGCCCCTCCACCTGCTGGCCTTCAGTCCATTCCCCTCTAGCAGTCCAAAGTCTCACCTAACCCAGGGACCATTTTGACCTTGTTGGTTTCAAGGGAAAGAAGTGTCCAGAGAGGTAAACAGAGAGATGGCCTTTTCACCCCAGCCTTCTGCCCAGAATTTGGGGAGTAGAATAAAGGCTTCACCTTAAACAGAACTGTAACCCTGCAAGTGAACTTGACCTAGAGGGCCGGGGAGGGGACCCACCTGACTCTGGTCTTTGACCTGCCAATTCGAGAGTTTTCTGGAGGGGGGTGTAGAAAGGCGATTGGGGAGTGGTGGTGGGAGGGAGGGACTGCTTTAGGACAGTTCTGCCTGTGTTTGCTTTTAAATGTACAGCAAGAATCCTAACAGAAGAAATGGAAAGCAAACAGCAAAAGGAGAGAGAATGCTTATGGGCCAGCTCTGGGTAGGGAGGTGATTCCAAGGTATTTCCCAATTTCCAAACAAGCTAGAGTCACTGGGTAAGGAAAGCATCAGAAACAATGGTCAACAATTAAAGTCAAGTGCACTCATAGCCCTGGCTAGGAAAACAAGACAGCTCGCCTGGCTGCCTCCCTCTGAGATGTCTGAAATTTCTCTTCTAACAAAAACATGTGGCGGGGTGGGTGGGCAGGGTTCTGTACCGGACAAAGTAACAACAATAATAATCCCATAAAAATAAAAGCATCAGCAGAACCACCGGCAGTCTTCTTTATCTCCTTGTTCATTTGTTGTTCTCGAAATGTGCAAAACTTAAAAAAACTAAATCAAAACACATTTGCTCACACACACACACACACACACATACACACAGCTTTCATTCTACACATTTGTGTTAAATACGTTTGTGTCCCTCTTTTCTCAGACCCTTCACATGTGCAAAAATCTTGTAGTGAACGTGAGGGCGCTGCCTTGGCCCGCCCTCCACGTGCTCCTCTCTGGCTGATCAAGTCCCATGGCTTCTTGGGAGAAAAGGAAATCAAATGATCAAGGATAGAAATTTCAGGTTTCTCCACCTGGTACTTCAATTGCCAAAACCTTTGGTTATGTTTCCCCTTAAGATCTATCTCTCCCCAGTTTGTTTGTTTGTTTGTTTGTTTCTGTTGATTAGGTTGCATGAGTCTTTTTCACTGTTTGTCCTCCACTGACGCCACCGATGTCCTGCTCTGGGTCTAGTCTCAGCCTTGGCAGGTGGCCACCCTGATTTCCTGTGGACAAGAAACTTCTCTTTCTTCTCTGCCACATCCACCATCAGCATAAAAAGCAAATGTTTAAATATCCTGAAGCAAAGGGATAGAGAAGGGCAACTTCAAAATCCCCCTCTATAGGGGTTCTCTGCCTAGTCCTGGGGGCAGACAGACAGAAACACACACACACACACACACACACACACACACACACACACACAGACTCATATCCAAAGCGACTAGCATTCTGAAAAAGATCAGGGTTCTCCATGGAATTTGCTGGAAATGGTGCGACTCCTTTCTCTTCCCATGAGTAACTAACTCATTTCGAGTGGATGCTGAGGAATGATGCTGATGTGTCTGGTGCTCAGGGAGTGAAAATCAGACTGTGGAATGCTCATCTCAGCCCCGTGTGAGAGGATGATGCCTCTGGTCGCTTGCGGTTGTGGACCACTTGAAGCCAGAGCTGCTGGGAAAGGTTCTTTGATATGGCTGGAGACTGGACCAGACTCTAGTTCCCATCAAGATTGAAAGTTTCCATGACCCTCTTTAGATTCTCTCTCACCTTGGCTCCTGTTCCCCAGTGCTCCTCTCTGAGCCCACGTTGCCTGGCTGGTGAAAATGATGAATGCAGTGATGGGAAACAGAGCGAGTGATGGATGCCAGGGCCAAGACCAGTTGTCTATATATCTCCTCTCATCTCTGGCCAGGCTCTCCAGCTTAACTATTCAGTCCTCTGCTAACAGGACAAGCTGCGTGTTGAGGCTGGTCTCTCTGAGGCTGTGTTGATTGTGTTTCTATGGAGACTGCTGAAGAGGTGGAGAAGGGTGTAAAAACAGAGACCACTGAGATGTTGATGAGATCATTTGCAAGGAGGTCTGGGAGGCCCAGTGACAAAGTCATCTGCATAGCAATGGCACCCAAGTCTGCAGGAGAACAGGGTCCAGGCTGTCTGCCCCAGCCCTCTCTAGGGTGGTCAGGAAGGATGGGGCTCCAGCCTTCTAGAGTTGTCGGGAAGGGCAGGGTGGTGTGATTGGAGCCATGGGAATAGCTGGAGGTAGGAACTCCTGGACACACCCTGGATTTCACATTGACCTTGACGAATGGTGACAAAGGAGGATGGAGGTGTTTTCTCTACACAGTACTGGAGCGCTGACAATGGACTTGACCTATGACGATGGTTGTGGGTCACTTGAACTTGGAGGTGAACAGAAAACAAGAACCTCTGCTTCCAAGGCAGACAGACACAACTCCTGTTCCTTTTCTTCCCCTGCAGATTACATTCCTGCTGCTAGGAGCCATGTTAAGATTGGAGCATACCATGGTGGGAAGTGAATGCGATCCTTCCATCCTGGCTTCAGCCAACTTCCCACAGGCAGAGGAGCAGCCTGGGCAGGGCTTGTGGGTTCTGGGAAGGGCTCCAAGACTATTGGGAAACCAAGGAAGGGGACAAGAAGGCTCTGGATGCCACCCCAACAGGTGTAAGGCAGCACTGCATGGTCCCTTCATGCTCCTCACTCATCCCTCCCCCAACAAACTCCAGTGACACCCAGGGAGGATTGGCCTTTCTTCTCACAGCTGCAGACTGACCACACAGCCTGACCCCTTGGAGATGGAGATGTGGGATGGGCGAGCCAAGTGATGTCTTCCAGAGAAGATAATACTGAGCTCGCTGCCTCTTCCCTCAGCCAAGGTTTGGACCAAGAGGAGGAAGAAGAAATACCAGCACAGACTGATCCTCCATCCCCGGTGCTCTCCAGGTGTGGACTCTGCTGCTGACTCCGGATGAGCCACTGCTGGGACACACATCTGGCATCTTCTGGTCAGTTCCCTTACCATAGGCTTGGCCATCCGGACTCACCAAGGGTCGGTGTTAGCAGAGCAACTGAAAGAGAAGGGATCCCGGGAGGAGGAGGGATGGAAAGAGGCAGAGAGAAGGACCGCGCTGTGTGGGTACTGCGGCTGGCGCCAGTCGGAACTTGCACTTGGTAAAGATGGTGATCTAGACTGAGGCACGGCTTGGTGTGTCCCCCTCCAGGGCAGCCCTGGAGGACGGTTCTCAGCTGTCTAAGCTCATGAGGGTTATGACTTGTTCTAGTTTGTAGGCCAGTTTCTGCTTCCCACACTGGTCATCGTGGTCCAGAGGGCCAAGGATCTGTGGAAGAGCAAAGAAGAAGGTCACTGTGTGTGTGTGTATGTGTGCCTTGTGTGGTCATAATCGGTGTGGATTCAATCTCGGGTTTGGGAGCACAGAGACACATGTACAGCTATTGCTTAGGTAACACAGATGATGAAGGGTTGTAGATTGAACTGGACCCCAAAAGATCGGTTAAGTCTTAACCTCTAGTACCTGTGAATTGACCTTGTTTGGAAAGAGGGTCTTTGCCCATGTGATCAGTAAGGTCAACATGAGGTCATTCTGAATTAGGGTGGGTCCCTGTGATGTCCTTATAAAATGAGAAAAACACAGACGCAGACACAAAGGGAAGATGGCCATGTCAGGATGGGGGCAGAGATGGCAGTGATGTGTCTACAAGTGGAGGAACAACAAGGATTGCCAGGAACCCCCAGAGTTGTTAGGAGAGAAGCAAGGACCAGCTTCTCCCTCAGAGCTGTAAGAATAAATCAAAACCGCCTTGAATTGTGAGGCAATACATTACTGCGGTTTCAGGATGCTCTCTTTGTGGCGCTTGTCATGGTAACCCCAGGGCACTAACGAGGAGGTAGGAGGAGCATTTGTGTGCCAAAGAACACAGGATGTGGACACATGCATCATCCCATGTCGATAAATGTGCATGTTCTACTGCCCATCACATTCAGCTTTGTTGAGTCCTGGCCGATGACACTGCAGTTTCATGCAGGTTAAATGGTGGAATGTTCCAGAACCAATCTCAGCATGTTGCCCTGAATTCAGTAGAATGTGATTTTGTGGTTTTAGGAAATCCTGGCCCTCTTTCCCAAAGAGGAAACTCTCCCTTCTACCTTCCTGAGGCCTGAAATCATGTTAAGAAAGTCACTTGATCTAACTTTACCCACAAAAAAGCACGTCCATCTTAAAGAACAAGGCCTGGTCACCGGGCAGTACTGCTGAGTGTTGATGAAGGACAGTCACAGGGAGCTGTTATGATGTAGGAAGGCAAATGCATTTGTATTTGACTGTGATGAAGGAGACAAGGGATTGACTTATGGCTTCCCCAGTTTCTACCTGGGTGAGATGGTGTCAAACATGTACCCTTGGTTTTCTTATCAGTGGAGCACGGGGGCTCCTGACTCTCCTCTTGTCTGCTCCGGTGCAGAGGATTGCCAGGTACCATGTGTGAAAGCCTTTAGCATGATGTCTGGGCTACAAGATACCTCAGTAGGTAGTAGCTGAAGTCTACTGGTCTGGGGGTCTGAGGAGTATGGGCCAGAGGGGATCCAAGAGGGCACAAGAGAACTGTATAGTCAAGGGTTATAAGCCCCCAAGCGTTGGTGCCTGTGGTCCAGTTGTGATTGGGGAAACCCAGGTAGAGCTGCCAACTTCTCAGTTAGTCAACCACTCCCATGTAGTGACATCATCATCTCACAAAGGCAGGGCATTGCAACACCAGAGCAGATGAGTGTATGTGTGGCCATCTGAGGCAGTGGCCATCACACTCGGGCATTCTCTACTGTCCTTAGTTTGTTCATGTCACCACGGGAGGGTGTAAGAACTTGGGCCTGAAGACTGACACTGAGGACCCTCTGTCCATAGAGAGAGGCTTCCCTCTCACTTGGATTCATAGCATTGTACTGTTCACGGTCAGGGGGATGTCAGGACTGGATCCCAACAGAGCTTCTTCCCTAACCTGTGGTCCTGGATCGACCTTCTCTTAGTGAGCAGGCTGTGTGGAGGGGAAAAGCTGGTCACTCACTGGCTTCAACTCCAGTGGTCATTGTCTCTTCATGATGGTGATCACACTCCACTCAGATACAGAGAGTCAGGTTCTGAACTCACTTGGTCTAGACCAGCATGGCCAAGAAAGAAGCCAACATCTATGATGGCTGTTATCCAGATGAGGTTTTGCAACTAGAGAACATCTCTTCCCATGCTAACCCACCCATCACATGCTTTCCATCCTATCCCATCCCATTCCATTTCACGCCATTCTTTACCCCACCCCACCACACTAGAAGGTTGTGCTCATCTGTGTTGAGAAGTGCTTGTTTCAAGAGAATTCGATCAGAGAAATGGAAACATAAGAGGGAATCCTGAAAGAGGAAATCAGCATTAAAAAAGATACAGCAAACAAGTATTCATGTATGTGTCCCCAAAGAGTAGGGGTGGAGTCCTGGGGTGGCACTATGGGTTAAAGCGCTGGACTGCAAACTTGGTTTGAACCGCAAAGTCGGTGGTTCTAGCTCACCAGCCACTTGTAGAAAATCCTTTACAGAGTCACTATGGGTCAGAGCTGACTCGACGGCACTTAACAACAACAACAACAACAACAACAAAGAGTAGGGTTTGGTGCATAAATCCTGGAGTGGGTGGTTTCCAGTGTCCTGGTCAGTGAGTACCGCCCGCAAGTCCCGGGTGACCAAGGCCAGTATGTCTGTGGGAGAGCTCTGTACATGAAGATTGCCGTGGGCAGGGTTGCCTCCAGCCCCCACCCCTCCCGTCCCAATAGGCCAGTGGGCCGGGCTCACCTCCTCGCTGTACTTGCCCACGTAGGAGAAGATTTCCGACAATGCGCTCATGGTGTTGAATTCGTTCATGTGCATGCGGGACTGCTCAGCCAGGTAGGCATTCATGTCCTGGTCACTGATAGCCGGCATCTTCCCGATGTCAGAGTAATACCTGTGAGGGTGGGGTGCAAGACAGAAGCTGGGGCCGTGGCTGTGGAGCAGAGCTAGATGCTCCCAGATCTTCCTTAGGGGGCCAATGGGTGTCTGAGGTTGTAGATGACCCTGTTGTCCCTGAGGACCTGGGGACCTGGGGTGATGTCTTTCCTTCTGCAATGCTGGAGAAAATGGACAGTAAGAAGACACTGGCAGAGTGGGACCAGAGCTCAGCAGGGACCTCGCTCCTTGCATCCGTACCTCGGTCCCATCTTTCTTGCCTGCCTCTCAAAAGTCCTCCCTTCCTAGGGTTAGACAGGAGGCCAGGGCGGGGCTGCGGGGAAGGAGGCTGGCAGTTGGCAATCCGTCACTGTCACTTGCAGCTGTGCACTGCTGTCAACTGGCTAATTAGATGCCAGCATTTACATTTTTAATTTCTGCAATTTGACATTTTGTGCACCAAACCCCAACTCCCCATGCCAGGAGGAGTTGTGTAGTTTCCTAATGAGGAATGAAGGCCCCCGCACCCCAAAGACAGCATTTCTCCTTGCCTCCGCCCTCCTGTCAGTTTGTGGATCATATAAATGAGATTAAAAACAAAAAATAACCACTGCCCCAAACCCAAACCACACCTGTTGCCATAGAACGAATTCCCCATCATTTCAAATCTCCTAAGAACTGCCCCCACGGAGTTTCTGAAGTTGTAATCTTTATGGAAACCAACGGCTGCATCTTTCTCATGCAGAACAGTTGATTGGTTCGAACCACAGACCTTTTGGAGAGCCTTGGAGTGCTTAACCACTGCACCACCAGGGTTCCTTATAAAAACAACTATGGATGTATCCAGAGAGTGGGCAGCCATCCCAGGTGCCCTGGAGAAGATGAGTATTAGAACCCAGACCAGGCAGGCTGGGGGTAGGACAGTGTGTGGCTGCAGAGAATTCAGGAATCCTTACCCTCAAGGTCTTGAGAGGGCAGGTGATAACCAGAACCTTCCGGCCGCCTTCCTCACTGCTCTGACCTTGAATCCATCAGTCCCGCACCAACCTGGTCCTTGCCCAGGAGAGGGGACAGGCTGACAGGGAGGCACCTGTGGTCTGCTGCAGTGCCAGGCTCCAGGGCTGGCTGTGGAATGACAGTTCAATTTGCTCCTAGAACACCCTGCAGCTACCAAGGGCTGAGGTGGCAGCCCTTTTTAGAGCCACAGCTGTGCTGGGAGCGTAGACCTGTCACTCCCTGGGAAAGAGGACAGACGGAGCAGCCGCACAGGATATCTCTGTCCTCTGCCCAGGGAAGGGCTGGTTGGAGGGAAATGGACAGAGGAGAGGCCATGCTCTGTCCCCTAAGAATCTGGAACACACGAGACATGCTCACCAACTGCTGTGCTCTGTGGGGGAGGGCTGGGCCCCAACAGTGCCCAGGTAGGTCAGTGAGGTGGCTGTGCCCACCCAGCTCATCTGAACTTCTGTCCTCTCTATCATCTCCCAGTGGTGAAACCCCATTGCCCTGTCCCTCACTGTGTGCAGACCCCTTGGGGCACTACGGTCCTGACCCTGCTTCCTTTTGTTCCTTTATGTCATCTTAAAGAAGTCTGTCTCTTCAAGTCCTGGGAGCCACCCAGGCACAGCCTCTTGTGGTAGTTCAATGTCGCCGAGTCGGTCCCAACTCATAGCGACCCTGTAGAGGATTTCCAAGGAGCTGGTGGGTTTGAACCATTAACCTTGTGGGTAGCCATCCAGTGCTTGTCCTACAGCCCCATACCAGGATTCCAAAGCCCAGCCTAAGAGACCATGAATTCCTACCAATATGTTACTAAAGAGCATTAACCATCAGTGCTGGCCTGTAAACTGATAGGTTGGTGGCTTGAGCTCACCAACTACTCTAAGGGAAACAGATGAAGTCATCTGCTTCTGTAAAGATTGTTGTTGTTGTTAAGTGCCATCTAGTCAGTTCCGACCCATAGCGGCTTCTGTATAGGGTTTCTGAGGAGTGACTGGTGAGCTTGAACCACCAACTTTGCAGTTGAAACTGACTTTGCGGTCTAGAGCATTAACCCACTATGCCACACCATAGGCCAGCACTCCTGTGTCTGATGGGGTTACTATGAGTCTGAATGGACAGTGGACTTGGTTGTGGTTTAACATGCTATTCAGGATCCTCAGGCACCCAAACTCTAGGAAACTTGAATCATTGCTACTGTTTCTGGAACACAGGGGTCACTGTGGCTCAGTGGTCAAATGCCCGCCTTCCACAGGGAGATCAAGGCTCCACTTCTGGCCAATACATCTCATGTGCAGCCACCAGCTGTGACGCTGTGACGCTGAACAGGTTTCAGTGGAGTTTGCAGGCTGATGCCTAGGGAGAAAGACCTGGAGCTCTACAGGAAATCAGCCAATAAAAACCCAGTGAGTCACAACAGTCTGACTGCAACGGACCATGGAGATGGTGCCAGACAGGGCAGTGTTTCAGTCCACTGTGTAGCGGGGGGCAGTGAGGGCAGGAGTGTGAGCGCCCAGGTTAGGGACCCACCTCCACGGTGGGTGCAGGGAGGTCTCTACTGGAAACAGCATACCCCTGCCCCCTCTATAGCTACAGTGACTAATCCTGGTGTAGCACTGCGGGTTAGTGAGCTGGACTGCTCAGTTTGAACCACAAGGTCGGCGGTTCAAGCTTACCTGCTGCTCCTTGGAAACCCTATACAGGGTCACTATGAGTTGGAACCAACTTGACGACACTTAACAACAGTCTCATACTGGGTTATAAAAGCCCAGGCCTATTTTTCCAAAAAGAAATGTTTAAGGAATATATATGTGTGTGTGTGTGTGTGAGAGAGAGAGAGAGAGAGAGAGAGAGCGAAAGCGAGAGCGAGAGCGAGAGAGAGAGAGAGAAAGAGAGAGAGAGGCAGACAGACAGAGAGAGAAGGCTGAAGTGGGCCCAGGGCAGGGTCAGGCATTCTCTAAGGCAGCATCTCTCTGGACCATGCTTCTGTAACAGGTAGGTCAGTCAGGTCTGCACTGGGAGGCCCAGGTCTTCCATGTTGCCTGTGTGGGAAGGAGGCCACTTTGGACCAGTGCCCATTTGCAGCCAAACACTAGCTCCTAAGTAGGTCACCCGCCCAACCTTAGTAAGTTCTAAGTTGTTGAGCATAGTGGCCAGTCACCACGATTGGGGTCTTGTTGACATTCTGCCCCTTCCCCTCTCAGCCCTGCCCAGGGTTAGGTGGTCCCACCCAGCACCTCGTCAGCACCCATGAGAAGCCCCCATGATGGCTCTTGGCTGCTGTGTATACACTTTTTTCTCAGCTTGTGCCAGACCAGAGTTTGTGCCGTGCTCCACCACAGAGAAGCGTATTGATTGTGAAGAATGCAATTAAATGCCGTTAATGAACTTCAAACAAGTGTCCTCACCAGTTGGCTTCTTAGCGAGGAAGGGAAAGGTTAGTGGGGCCCTTGCTCTTAAACTTGCTCCATATGCAGGTAAATCCTTCCTCCAAGGGGATGCTGCCCAAAGCTCCGTAGGACCCTGCTTCTCTGGAGCAGGCCAGGCGGGCCTCACCCTGCTCTCCTTGCTGCACTAGCCGGGAGGATGCCCCACCCTCTGGTCCTGGCCTCAGCCCTCGGAGAGATGCTGGTAAGGGCAAAGCCCCAGAATAGCTGGGTCCTCTGCTGTCAGCCCGTGATTTCCATCTGTGGGCTCATCGGGGGTTAGAGAGTCCCAGTGTGTGATGGTGAGTAGCATTCCGTCTCCACCTTTGGGATGTTCTGTACAGATCGAGAAGATGGTCTCAAAGGCCCAAAACTCTGAGAAAAAGCCAAATATTGTCACCATTCCTTCAACCACATCAAGGGCAGTGACGCAAGAGTGAGAGGCCCTAGGAAACTGTGCTCCGAGGCCCCTGGAAAGGTGCTGTTTCAATCCCACAGGCTCCTTCTTCCCTCTGTGGCCAGTCACTGGCTCATCCTGGCCCAGCTGGACTGCCCCTCACCTCTGAGCTCCCCACTGCTGCAGTTCACCTCCATTCCAGGGGAGCTTTTGGGGGCGGACCAAGTCCAGTACATACAGACACCCAGTGCAGTCGGCATGGATCGCGGCCAGAGTGCCGGAGGACGATGGGTAAGTTAATGAAGTGTCTACGCCTCACTCTACTCATTCTCCTAGGGAGAGCTGTCACCGCTTCATACGTTTGAATAGATGGCTTCTTTTCGAGTCATATTAAAATATTTAAATTTTTTGACCTTTTTCATGCCATGACAGATGTGATGGATGACATTCAAATGTGGGGCCCACCCCTAGTCTAATCCCCACTGGGCTGCGGCTCCCCTCCCGCTCATTTCCTCCATGGGGAAGACTGAGGGCCAGAGGACCCGTGGAAGCTCTTGTAACCACCGTAGGATAAACACTGAGCAGCGGCTGGTACTGGACTGTGGTCATGACCACCAGTCTGGGATCCTGCTCTGTAAGATGGCCACAGTGGTGTCCTGCCAACAAGGAAACAAAAGAGTCTTCTCCCTCTCTCCAGATCTGGCCAGAGCCAAAACTCTAGTACTTGGGTAGAAACAGTGCGTCCACAGTGGGGGTCGCCAACCACCAGCACCACAAGGTATCTGGAGGCAGGAATGAGATTGGGGGTAGGGGGGGTGCTTGAGGGTAGAGGGGAGGGTGAGTAGGAGGGCGGGTAGCAGGAAGAGTGGAAGGCCAGGGAGAGTGGTGGGAGGAGGGTGGAAAGAGGAGGGGGACACTACGGTGGCTGGGTGCCTTCCACCCCAGGTGTAGGTGTATTCCAGGATGGGATGGTGGAAATAGGATGTGTGGGAAGATAAAGTGGATGGGAGGGTGGAAGGTGGGATAGAAGGGAAGCTGGGAGGAAGAGGGGAGGGAGGATGGGTAGATGAAGAGCCTCTAGGAGACACAAGCCAGAATCGATGTGATAGAATCGGCCACACTGTTTAAACACCAGGTGAGTAAGGTTCCTGAGTTTATTTGCTTTCCATCCCCTTGGAAGAGAGGGCCAGCCAGGGTGAATTTTAGCCCTTCTCAAGGACCAGTGAGGCTCTGCCTACCTTGGTGAGTCAGAGTCTGAGGCTGTGCACTCTCCAAATGCCAGGAACAGCAGGACAGGCTGCTGAGAGTATGTAAGCCCCACCCCCAGGAGGAGGGTTGGCCATGGTTTCCATGCGAGTTCCAGCTGAGTTTCCCTTCCAGGGGTGGACCACATTCGAGGCCAGCCTTGGCAGTGAGTGTGGGATGGGCCCACCTGGCCCCATGTGCAGGTCCATCCTAGCCTCCTTCCTCCAGACCAGCTCCAGCTCCCTCCATTCTGTTGCCCCACCCCAGACCCAGGCGAGAGAGGAATTTTAAAGAACGGAAAAGCATGTGAAAGATAGCTTTCCTAAGAGCACCACTGGTTGCTAAGAAACTAGTGGGATAAGAAATGGAAACCATCAAACCACTCCTAAAAATAAACCAAGTGGACTGGGGTTACTCGTGACCCGTAGCAGCTGCGTGGTACAAATCTCATTTACAGTGAGTAGAAGGGGGACCGTTAGCCGGACGCACACATTAGTCTCACCCGACTCAGCAGCGTGTTCCGGAAGTGTCCTCTATGCAGATGTTCCCTGAATGGCCCTCCCTGCCTGGGTCTCTATCACAGTGACACCAAGTGAGAGAACGAACAATCAGCCCCACCACTGGAGAACAGGGGACCAGACGGAGGACCTCCTCCTGACAGTTCCATTGTCAGACAAAGCACCTGTCCAGATGGGGTGAGCAGCTCTCTTGGCATGGACAGATACGAGGACGATATGGTCAGCTCTTGTCCCAGCCGACCAGGCTGATTTCACCACCGCCAGTGGGAGTGGAAGGGGGAGGGGGCCAAAGACCACAAGGTGAGAGAGACAGACAGAAAGCCTTGAGCAGAGCTTTGGCATGGAGTTGGCCAGGGCTGCACCCCATCTCACTGTTCCCCTGAACAAGGGAGACCATTTTCAAGTGTGAAGATGGAGACCATCTCTCTACTAGACACAAAAGATACTGTTGGGAGTCCTTTCCAGTGCCCAAGTCAAGAACAATTTCTGGCCTGTTTTACTTTTCAGAAAGGTATACAATCTGAGCTCCCAACCAGGTTTTCTGTTTCGGCAACAAGAGAGAGGGGCTCTAAAGCCAGGATGGCCATGCAGAGTTGTGAAGGCTGTTCATCACATACAGGTGCTTGGTTGACAAAGAGCATAAGTGGAGGCTGACAGCGGGCTCTGCAAACCACACACTTGGCATGGGTTGAGGGCACAGATCCTGGTGTGGGACTATGTTCTATGGTGGAAGGGACATCTTCCTCAGTTCCCACGGAGGCACTGTCTGGGTTCGCCGAGACCCAGTCTGAACAGAGGCAAGTGGAACTAAGATTGGGGAGTCAGTGGAGAGGCTTGGTTAGTTTCAACTCAGCCACTTACAACACCTTCAGTGATGTCATAACCATTTCTGGGACCCCTTCTTCTCCCAAGTATAGTCTCCACCCTCGGAGAGGACAGGGCCACTGTGCTGAGGGGAGAAGGACTCCTCTGCTGCTCGTCTGGTGCTTGGTGATAGGCTGATGTGGCCTACGAGTTAACTCTGTGCACAGCACGTGTGTGTGTGCCTCAGCTTTGTGACTCACAGGTGGGTAGTGGGAGCCTGTGAGACCAGCCACTGACCAGGAAGGTGAAGTTGGGGGCAGGGAGGTGCTGTCCGGAGATGAAGATGACACCCACGAGGAAGGTGGAGAAATACCAGGTGAGCAGAATCACTGTGAGCAGGTAAGATGCTGCTCTGTTCCTCCCTAGAAGTCTGTGAGCACACACATACATACACACACATACACACATACGTAATACATACATACACACACATGCATATACATCATACATAACACACACATACACAAACACACACACACATATTGTTGTTGTTAAGTGGTGTTGAGTTGATTCCGACCCATAGTGACCTGGTATAGGGTTTCCAAGGATCAGCTGGTGAGCTTGAACCACCGACCTTGCAGTTCAAATGACTTTGCAGTCTGATGCATTAGCCCACAGTGCCACATCAAGTCTCTTACACACACATACACAGATACGCAGCCACACATAAACACACATGTCCACGCACGCACACATACGTGCACACAACACACACACCAGTGCGCACACAATACACACATCTATACACATATATGCGCATGCAATTCATACACACACACACACACACACACACACATGTTCACACACAAAACATACACATACACACAGGCACACCGAGAGAGCCCTGGTGGAGCAATGATTAAAGCACCCAGCTGCTCGCTGAGAGGATGGGTTGGTCTGCTTCCATACAGATCTCCACCTTGGGGAACGCTATGGAACAATTCTACTCTTTCCTATAGGGTTGTTGTGTTTGATTTGGTGGCAGTGGGGCTTTTGTTTTGTTTTTTTTTGATTAACACTAACACCAGTGTTCCAAGCTGATTTCTTGTAGGTTTCTTGCCTCGGCGGTCAGTCCAGCATCAGGTCCCATGAATGACCAGTCTGTGAACATGGCCTACTTGGGGAAGGGGGCCTCTTATTGAGGGTGGACATCTACTCCAGCGACAGGGTCTAGGCTGGCCCCACCAGCACTCACCTCTCCACCCAGCTCTTGTAGCTAGGGATGTCCTTGGCGTAGAGCAGTTTATTGGAGGGCGAGTCCTTGCCCAGCCGGTGCTCTGACGTGGAGCAGGAGTCCATGAAGGTCTGGGCTACCACCGACAGGCAGGCGTCTGTGATGCTATTCTTGTGGATGTCAAACACGAACTGCGGGTTCTTGATCATGTTGACCCAAAACCTCAGAGGCAGGCTGCATGGGGGAAGAGACAGAGCGTTAAGAGGAACGGGCAGTGGGGCCTACTGGAGAGAGAAGAGGGGAGGCATTCACAGCTCATCAGAGCCTTTTATGTACCAGAGAGGAGTCTCTGAATGCTAAGTACCTGACTACTTTCTAGACGATAGGTTGGCAGTTCAAACCCATCCAGAAGTGCCTTGGAAGAGAGGCCTGGAAATCTACTTCCAAATTGTCACAGGCAAGAAAACTCAATGGAGACGATCTATTCTGCATACACGAGGTCATCATGAGTTAGAACTGACTTGACAGCAACGCCATCAACCACATAGGATCCAACCAGAGATGGAGGGCAAGGCAGGTCTAATGGGTCCTGTCTTACTCTCCAGGAAACTGAGGCTCAGCAAAGCTGAAGAGTCCCCTTGGAGACACACTGTTGGCAGGTCCTGGAGTGAAGTGTGCCACCCAGTGGGATTCCTGAAGGTCCCACCGTCTGCCCCAAGTCCAGAGTCGAGAGCACCAAGATGACCAGCTTCCAGAGGCAGCCTGAATTCCATTCCTCATATCTCATTCTCTGCCAGCTGCCCTCCCTCCCCACCTAGGGATAGCAGCCTCTTCCTGCTTGGCTGAGCAGAATTGAACCAGACGTCATGTCTCCAAATGGTCATCTTAAAACTCGCATGAGTCCTTCCTTGTCTCCACTGTGTCCCTTCGTTCCCTCTTTCCTCCTTCTTCCTGCTGGTTAGTACCCACTGCACACCAGGACCTCTGCTAGGAGCTGAGGGGCCATAATAGAAAAGACCCCATGTCTGCCCTCTAGAAGCTGCCTTCTCGTGGGGGCAGAGGGGAAACCAGATGTGCAACCACAGGCATGCTTGGACGCCTGCAGACACTGGGAAGCAAGTGTGTATGGGGTTCAGAGTGGGTCATAGGGCAGTCCACCTAGAGGAGGATGATACTCCATGTCCTGCGTTTAGATGCTCTGCTGGATGAGGCTGGAGGTGAGGCAGAGGGCGCTTCACAGTTGGATGGACGTAACTCTATCTTTGGCTATGAAGGGGTTGGACGTAACTCTCTCTAACTTTGGCTATGAAGGCAAGCTGGGCTTTGGAAGAAATCTGCCCCACCTGCCCCTCCTGCCAGCTGATGCTCCTATTCTGTGACTTCCACCCAGCCTGTTGAGACCAGGTTAGAGACTGGGATGGCGCTAAGCAAGGCATGGCGTATGTCCTCCCATTGGCCCCAGCTCTCTACCTTCTGCCATTTTTTCTGGATGTGTTATTTTTGCTTTGATTGTGGTTCCCACTGTTGGTAATGGTTATAACTTCCTTATGTGTTTTGTTTGTCTCTTAGCATTTGAACTCTTTGAAAGAAATGATCTCCATACCCGAAACACGAAGCCCACTGCTGTCATGCCAATTACAACTCACAGGGACCCTGTACCACAGCACTGCGCCATAGGGTTTCCAGGGCCCTTGATGGAAGCAGACAGTCTCCTCTTTCTCTTACAGGGAAGCTGGTGGTTGAGTTTGAACTACTGACCTTGTGGTTGGCGGCAGGGCACTTTAACCACTGATCCACCAGGGCTAATTCTATAATTACAACACAGACATACTATTTCTACATTCTTTGTCTCTTCCAGCCAGGACGCAATACAATCAATGATAAACTATAGCTAGATCTAACATTCAAGATCACCAAGTGTGTATCAAGTTCCTATAAGGCGGGCAGCACAGGCCCGGGGCAGGCGAGCACTGAGGGTTGACAATTTTGAGGGGTACTTGTTTCATCAAAAGCAATCCAGAGTGTGAAAGAATGGGGTACCCCCAGGGAGACTAGAAGAACCAAGAGATAGCAGAACCTGTTAGATGGGGCCTTGGCTTCCAGAAACAGGGGGCTGGGACACCAGGGCTCCCAAGTCCCGAAAGAAGGAATCCAGAGTTTCCAGGTAACAATATGCCCTTTCCGCAGATTCCTGTTTGTTTGGTCCACCACCCACAAACTACCACCCAGCTTATGATCAGCTGCTAATCTAAATGTGGGCGGTTCAAACCCAGCCCCTGGCTTTGTGAAAGAAAGACCTGGTGAACAGCTTCAGTAAAGATTCCAGCGAGGTTTCTATGTGGAAAAATGGTTGGGATGCAATGTTTCCTTGCATACATAAAAATACAGGGATGGGCAACTTGGACATTGGCTACTAAAATGAGGGTTGGGGGGACTACAAAGACAAGAAGGACTGGCTTACAAGCTTTCAAGAGGGAGCCTAGATCCAGAGAGCGTGGAGGAAGGTAGAATCTCCACTGAGTAGTATTCAGTCTGTCTGAGTGGGGCTGATGAAAGGAAATGTGGATGGGTCTCTTGTGATACAATAGTGAATAATTGTTATCAGGACTGACTGTGAGGGTTGGAAATGTAAAGGTAGATGTTTTGTAGCAAAAGGAGGGGAGTGGTTGACTTTGTAGTCTAGGAGCGGAGGACCCTGGGAACATCAAGCGAGAAGAGAGGAGTAGTGTGGGACCCTACCCAGAGAAGCAGTGACGCCAGAGATGGAGGCAGAGACGATGACGTGGAGAGATGGAGCAGCTGGGGACTCTAGATCCAGAGATGGAGAGGGGCTGTGTGCTGACGACTTGGTGGGTAGGCTTGTAGGGTATATACCCTTTGGTTGTTTGACAATTCATGGAGGGGATGCATTGTAATCATGGCAATGAAACAATATACGATAAGACGAATGTAAAGCTAATGTTCTCCCATGTAATCGATCAATAATTCAAAATAAAACATTAAAAAAAAAAAAGGAATGGGAAACTCTAAAAAATTTTAAAAAAGGATGAGGATGATGGCAGTGTTGGAACCTATGGAGCAGTTCCGTTTTGTCCTAGTGGGTCGCTACAAGTTGTCATGGGCTCTACAGAAATAGGCTGGGTTACTTTCTTCTTTAGCCATTTATATAGCAGCTGATGGACAAGATTCCTGTATCATTACTACAAACTGCTTCCCTTATTTTGATTCCTAAATTCTATATTGGTGGGTGGTGGCTATGTGCCACTGAGTGAGTTCTGACTCATAGCAACCCTGTATAGGGTCTCCAAGATGGTAAATCTTTACGGGAGCGGAAAGCCTCATCTTTCTCCCACAGAGCACCTGGTAGATTCACAGTGCTGACCTTGAGGCTAGCAGCCCTGCTCATAATCCACTGCACTACCAAGACTCCTTAAATCCTGTATTACTACCATATTACTGGAGTCCTGGTGTGTCAGCATAGGGTAAGCAATGAGCTGTTAATAGCAAGGTTGATGGTTCAAACGCACCAGCGGTTCCTCGGAAACCCTATACAGGGTCGCTATGAGTTGGAACAGACTCATGTGAGGTAGAACCAACAGTAGAAACACCACCATGTTATTACTGTAAAAGGCACACCATCACCATCTGTCCATCATAGACAGTATCTCAACAAAACAGACAACGAACAAAACAAAAGATTCTAGCTAAGAAAGTCCTATGGGGAACATCTACTCTGACACAGGCGGGAGCATCATGACTTAGAACTGACTCATCGCAACTAATGACAGCCACAACTACCTCCCAGAAGAGGGATTCTGGGGACTCCACACCTGCTGTTCTTCCCAACACTCCCCACTCCAAAAGCCAGCAGTGCTGACAGTCAAACCACTCAGCACCCAGGGAGCCTGCCTGATGAAATATTAGCATATTATTAACATTAGTGGTGACACTAATCTCTGGTTGATTGTAGCCACTCAGGCTAAATGAGCAGGAGGTTTATTCCAAAAAGAAAAGGAAGAAGAGAGGGGAGCAGGGGATGGGAGTCAGATCTTGGCCAAGAATAAAGAAACACTGTCTTTTCAATAAAGGTGATTTGCTCTAAATCAATACGCAGATCTCATCGTTCCTGGTCGAACTGCTTCTTGCTCAGGCTAGCCACTCTTTGGGGTCAGGGGAAGGGGTCTTGGATGCTAGGTCAGAGCATCGTATGCCTGAGTATATCCGGTTCTGAAGTTCTCAGCAGTAACATCTGCACATGCATGCTTGGAAGAGCAACTGGTGTGGAAGGAGTATCATCCGCTACCCTAAGGATGTTGGGGTGCCCTCACCCCAGCAGGAGGTATGGGTGGAATGCAGAATGTCTCACTGCTATTTTAGACGATGCCCTTGTGATGAGTTCCTGAGAAATTTAGACAAGTTAGGGCCAGCTTGGAAACACGCCACTCTATCCAGTGAGGCAGAGTAGTGGTTTAGTGATAGAATTCTTGCCTTCCATGAGGGAGACCAAGATATGATCCCCAGCCAATTCACCTCAAGTATGGCCACCGTGAGTGGAGACCTGGGTATTGTTGTAATGTTCAACAGGTTTCAGTGGGACTTCCAGACTAAGACTAGGAAGAAAGGCCTAGTGAAAATCTGAAAATCAGTCAGTGAAGACCCAATGGATCACAAGGATCCAATCTGCAATGGACCATGGGATAATACAGCACCGGGCAGCATTTCCTTCTGTTGTGCTATCAGCGAGGAACTTACTCACTCGATGATACCTTAATGACAACAACCCAGCTAGGAAGAAGACAAGGTCTGGGCAGAGCATCCTCCCATTCCAAAGGGAAAGAAGAGAGAAGCAACCTCCAGAGTCATGTGAGGAAGCCTGCGAGAGTTACATCCAATGGTACCTGGAGGCAGGAGGCAGAGACTGGGAGAAACAGGTGTTGGTTGGACTTCACAGGGAGGAAACAGACTGTGCCCAGGACTGCTGCTTCCAGTGAAAACCACAGAATCTCACTTGCTTTATTTCAGAAGGCTTGGAAGAACTCCACAAAGGAGGACCACCCAAGAAGTAACAGGGTGCAAAACCCACACTTCAGTTCAACGGCTCAAACTTGCGTTCTGATGTGCTTTTTCTATTTCAGTAGTGAGACCAAGAATCAGAACCTATGATACTGAGTCGTGGTACCACACCCTGAATTCCACATTTATATGTATTTGGGTTCAGGGCCCAGGACTAGATTTCAGGGTGCCTGCTTGTTTCCTGGAGTTACATCAATGCAGTTAGAAGGCACTGGGCAGCCAGTCCACACTGCCTTGGGATAACGACCCAGGAAAGAACTACTTGGAAAGAGCAGGGATCATTTAAAAGTGAAGGGAGGCAATGTCTGATCCAATGGGACTAAGTACAAGCAGCTCTGCCTGAGGTGGAACTCTCAGACGAGGCAGAACCATCGGGACCTGCACTTTCATCAATATTTAGGCCATCCCACTTGGGCGAGGTTCATGCCATGTGCTGAGTGAGAAGTGGAGCTTACCATCTCAACCTGCAGCACCAATCACACCTGAGTGAGGGGAGGCAGAGAGGGGACGCCAGATTGTCAGTTAGTAACTGGAGAACGCTGTTGTCTCCGGGAAGACAACAGAGTTATGAGTTATGGGAACATCTCTCCCCAAAAGGGAATTTGGAGGAGGGGTTTGAGAAGGGGCAGGGTAGAGACAGGCCTCATGCTTCTGTGGCTCCCAGGTGCACTTCACAGTTCAGTTCAAGTCACTGTTAGCTCGTCACATCTTCTATCCTTGCATTAATCTCTCAGTCCAAACAGCTGGCTCTTACCCTTGTATCTTACTCTCATCCACCTGCTTATGAAGGGCAGGGACCACATCTTATTCATCTACACTTCCTCAGTGTCCAGGCTGACTCCAGGCACATGGGAGCACCTGGCTAGGAGAGTTGCCGTATTATGATTTTGCTCATTTAGCAGGTTCAGTGAGTGTTTGCTAGCAGGCTGATGGATGGGAAGGACGGATGGGAAGGATCTGACTAGGAGGAAGTGAGAGAGGAGGAGAGCAGGGAGAGGATCAGCGAGAACCTCAGCTCCACACCACTGCTCGCCAGCTGAGGGTGCAAGGAGCGGCCCCCATCACTCACCAGTTGCTTTTCCAGGTGTGGCGGACATGGGGGTCGTGAATGCCATGCTTGTCGGCTTGCTCATCCAGGAAGTCGAACATGTACTTGATGGCCAGAGGCAGGGCTGAGCCCCGGTGCGCCGTGCTGAAGATGGTCTCGAAGAGATCGTCTACAAACTTCTGCAGTGTGCCCTGGGGAGGGGGAAAGGTCAGACCTACTTGGCTGGGAGCCCTGAGGACAGTGACAAACCGACTCCCATCCTGGGGGTGGAAAGGCTGGGTCCAGCCTGGCCTGCTTGGGTGATTAGATTAAATCACTTTTGTGCCCCCTTCCTGTCTCTTTAACTGTTTTACATCCCTCCCCCACCCCCGGCAGGTGGAAACTAGACCACCACAGTGGGCTGGACGAAGCCTTCCTCTGCCAATAGCCCAGTCTGTTCAGTAGCTTTCACGCTGCTATTTTTTGTGCTCTTTGTAGATGCTAATGAACGGCTTCTCTGGTCAGAGCAGACACACACAATCTGTGTGGGGACACTGTTGGCATGGGCTGGTGAACAAGTTACTGATTTGGCTTTGCAGAGAGCAGTGCCGAGCCCAGTCTCAGAAGAAGATGACAAGCTGCAGGCATGAACTGTTCCCAGAAGCAGGATTAGCAATGATTCTGGGAACCTCACTGATCGGAGATTGTGTATGACACCCAGCATCGGCTTGCCTGCCTGCTTGAATTTGTTTTGGGGTTTGTTTGGAATAATGGGTTAAGAATGATTCTGAGGATGCACGTTGCCAATGAGTACTGGGATGGATTAGCAGTACTTGTTGTGGAGGACCACAGAGTGGGTGTTCTCATACAAATGCTAGGTGTTTGTCCCCGCTGGCCCTGCCCTCCCGTTCTCTGCTGTGAGCTCCAGTACCTTGGTGGCCAGCAGTCGGGTCAGGTAGATTTCAGACACCATCTTGCTTCCTCGGTCGCCCTCCTTCTGGTCCCCATGCTCGTGGTTCTTCACTAGGTGCCATAGCTTGACTCCGCTCTCCAGGTCTGGGGTGATCATGGGCGTGCGGGAGCGGAGGCTGTCGGGGCTGCCCGTGTACCGGATCATGTTCTCTGCCAAGACAATTACCCCAGTACATGAACCACTCACTCCCCAGCTTGCTCACTCTTAAGGCACCTGCTGCTCCACCAAGGTTAGCTCTCCTCTGGCCTTGTCTGAAACTGGCTAGGGCTGTGCCTTGCTTGGTCTAATGGCATCCCTGAATCTGCTGGTCTTCCTCTTCCAGGCTCTAGTGAAATTCACCACCCAGGGAACTGTCCGTGGTACTTCCGCCCAATGTAGGCTGCAACTTGTCTGTCTTCACTTATCCAATTTGTAAAAACCTCAGCTTGTCCTCTTTGACACTTGGCCTTGTAAAGCTCTCTAGTTCATTTTTGGGAGGACTGCTGTGTAGCCAATTAAATCTCAACTTAAGAGCAAATGGTCCGTTTCCCTTGGAACCTGCTCAGCTGCCTCCGGCCCTCTCACCTGTGTGGGCTCTTACTGTTGATGGGGTGGGTGAGGTGAGGAACAGAACTACTGTGCACACACCTGGCCAGGTGTTCTATATATTATACAGAATGCATCTGTAAGGTGGTAGCTTTTTCAATCCTGTTTTATTGATCAGAAACTTGAGACTCATAGTGGTTAGGTGGTGGCTTGCCCCTGAGCGCACGTGTTGGGGCAGAGTGGAGTGCACTCTGGTCCTCTACCCACATCCAGGCCTCCCCCCTCCTTCCCAGATGCCACAGGCAGCCATGGGCAGGACTCTGGGCCTCTCTCATCCAGCTCAGGTGCCTCAGCCCTGGGAGCACACCTTCACACAATGCTTCATCACGGTGTGACCTCTGCCAGCCCCTTAGCCTCGGTGTCTCTGAGTTATAATGTATTCATCTCCATACTAGGGGGGCAGAGTAATGATTTAACTCACTGGAATTTCATGAGCATGCTCTGAGATGATGGACATCCTAAAAGCATGTCCAAGACTCTGAGACACTCAGAGGTAAGCTCTGCCTTTGTTTCTTGGGGCTAGAGGTTCTATTTATGTATCAGGGTCTCACATAGGGGCCAGGCGGCCTTGTCCCAGGCAGGCTTTCCCTCCAATGGTCCCACTGCCAGATGGACCCACTTCATCCTGGAGTCTGGGGTCTGATGGCTGCACACCAGTTGTGCTGCAGTCCTAACCATGACCATCCAGGACAACCCCGTCACATCTTACCATATTTACTGGCTGAGGTCCTGGAGACGGTGGAGTTGTTCATTGCATTGTAAGCTGTCACCTGCTTTGACACTAAGGCCACCACGGAACCATCTGGCACCTGTAGGAAGAAGGCTTGTTAGGCCTGGGTACTGAAACACTGCCACCCCGGAAAATAAGGACAGTCCGCATCACTGGACAATCAGGACACTTCAGAGGTGACCATCATTCCCCTGAAAGAATGAAAACCCAGTTTTAGAGGGAGAACTGCTGACCAGTATATATCAGGAGGAACCAGTCCCTGGAAAAGGACATTATGCTTGGTAAAGTGGAGGGTCAGCAAAAAAGATGAAGACCTCCCCCACCCAATGAGATGGATTGGCACAGTGGCAGCAGCAATGTCGTGTAACAACAATTGTGAGGATGGTACAGGACCAGGCACTGTAGGGTCACTATGAATTGGAGCCAACTGGGCAGCATCAATTTAAGTCAAACTGACCCGTCTGTTAGTTTATTGTATGGTGGTGGCTTGTGTGTACTGCAGGAGGTCATGCCACCAGTACTTAAAACACCAATTGGATCATCATGATGGACAGGTGTCAATGGAACTTCCAGACTAAGATAGACTATGAATAAAGGCCTGGTAATTTACTTCTGGAAGTTAATCAGTGAAACCCTATGAATCAGAACTCAGGACCATAGTTTTGGGGGACATCAAGGCCAACTGGCACAATATAGTTCATGAAGACATATTCTGCATCCTCCTTTGGTAAGTAGTGGTTGGGGTCTTAAAAGAATGTGAGCAGCCATCTAAAGTACAACTATTGGTCTCTCTGCAAAGCAAAGAAGAATAAAGAAAATCAAAGATGCATGGAAACAATGAGTCAAAAGGACTCATGGGCCCCATGACTTTTAGCCTTCATAATGCTGAGATCAGAATAACTAGATGGTGCCCAGCTACCACTAACAACCAGTCAGAAAATATCGCACTAAAAGGTCTTAGAGTGGGAGGGAAATATGGAACAAAACTCAAAATCATAAAAATAAAACATAAGAAAACAGGTTTACTGGTAAAATAAAAAGACAGGTGGGACCACCAAGACTATGGTCCTTCATTGTCCTTCAGACCTGGAACTGAACTCAATTTTCAGCCAAACAACAGACAGGTGTATGAGGTGAATGACAGTACAAAGAAGCACAGACTCCTTAGAACAATCAATCCTTGGAGATCAAAGGGGCAGCAGCATTTGCCCAAGGACAAAGCCCAGAAGTTAGGAAGCGTTAGGACAGCAGGAATGGGAACAGTAAGTATAGGAAGGAAGTGGGATGAGAGATGCTACATTATGGTGGTTGCAATCAATGACATGAAACAAAAGGTGTATGAATCGTCCAATGGAAAACTGTTATTTGCTCTGTACCCTTTACAAATTCACAATAAAAGAGAGAAAAATCTATGGATCCCAACAGAACCCTGTCCAACATGACACTGGAAGTTGAGCCCCCTAGATTGGACGGTAACAATGAACTGAAACCACCCGGGCTTGTAGACATGGAGCAGAACTGGGTATCATTTCATTCTGTTGTACCTGGGGTCACCCTGACTTGGAGCTGACTCAGAGACAATTAGGTACAGCATTCTGTTTTGTGGTTCACTCATGGAGAGACTTGGGTACGAGCTCCTTGTCAGCATTTTCTATCCCAGTGATTCCCTGGGGAACCCCTTGCCTCAAATATCCAGGAAGGATCTCTCCCTATGCACCCAGTGTGCTATCTCCAGGCGGGGTGATAGCCAGTTCCTTGTGACCACTAGGAGAACATGTCATACTTGGTGGTACAGATGGTTAACTGTTATTATATACTAACTGGGAGCTTGGCCATTCAAATTCACCGAGAAGTGCCTCTGAAGGAAGACTTGGAGATCTACTTCCCAAAAAAGAGCTGTTGAATGTCCTATGGAGCACAGTTCTAGTCTGACACACGTGGGGTTGCTATGAGTTGGAACTGGCTTGATGGCAATTGGTCTGGATTTGGTCTTGCCATAGAGAGATCCTGTTAGCCCAAGGCTGAGGCTTACAGGGCAGTGTGCAGGTAGTGATCCCACTTCTTCTCCATTCCCCTCACCTGGTAGTGGGCCAGAGTGTTTAGTCTCTTCCAGTCATTCTCAATCTTGGTGGTGATGTCTTCATCCTGTAGGATCATCCTCGCCCCACTGCCTTGTCGCCACTCTGTGGGGAGAGCAGAGCATATCAGGGAGACCTTCCAGACCCCCACGGGGACCCTGAGGACTGGGTGTAGGGCCATCTGAGGATGCAGCTAAGGACAGACACGTGCAGAAACACGCCTCCACGGGAACGACACTCTCAATACAAAAAGGGTCCAAGTCCAGATTCTGGTTTTGACCCAGGCAACCAGGAGATGATGGGGGGTTGGGAAGACTCATTAGTCCCCCAGCCCACCAGCTTGCTGAGAGTGGCCACATTTGCTAGTAGAGGCTGATTGAATAAGGCAGAAGAATGCAATTAACAAGCTACTGAGCCACTGCAAGACAGCATCGTTACTGCCTGGAATCCTGGTGGTGCAGTGGGTTAAGCACTGCAAGGTTGGTGGTTCAAAGCCACCAGCCACTCCACAGGAGACAGATGAGGCTGCTGCTTCCACAGAGACTGACAGTCTTGGAAACCTTAGGGACGAGTCCTACGGGGTCCCTGTGAACCAGAATACTGGATGGCAGTGAGTTTGGGTTTTTCAATCATTACTGTGGAGTCCTTGGGTGGTGAGATGATTAAGTGTTCAGCTACTAACTGAAGGTTGGCAGTTTGAGTCCACTTTAAAGGAGCCCTAATGGTGCAGTGGGTTAAACACTGGGCTGTTAACCACAAGAGCAGTGGTTCAAAGCTACCAGTTGCTTTATGGGAGAAAGATGAGACTTTTCTGCTCCCTTAAAGATCTGGTGGTGGTGGTGTGTCATGGAGCTAGTTCCAAAACATAGTGACCCTGTATAGGGTTTCTGAGGCTGTAATCTTTACGGGAGCAGAAAGCCTCATCTTTCTCCCATGGAATGGCTGGTAGTTTTGAACTGCCGACTTTGATGTTAGCAGTCCAACTCATAATCACTATGCTACCAGAGCTCCTTTCCTTAAAGATTTAAAACCTCAGAAATCTGATGGAGCAATTCTACTCTGCACTGCAGGGTTGCTATGAACTGGAATCTACTCCAATTCATAGTGGGTTTGCAGAGGTGACTTGAAAGAAAGATCTGGTGATCTACTACTCCCAAATCATCCATTAAAAGCCCTATGGTGCCCAGTTCCTCTCTGAGACACACGGGGTCGCTATGAGTTGAGGTCAACTCTATGGCAGTGGGTTAGCACAACTGCACTTGGGCTCCTCTGCTTTGATTGGAGGGTATGTTGTTGTTAAGTGCCGTGGAGTCGGTTCCGACTCATAGTGACCCTGTACAGGGTTTCCAAGGCTGTAAATCTTTACGGGAGCAGAAAGCCTCATCTTTCTCCCGTGGAACAGCAGGTAGTTTTGAACTGCTGACCTTGTGGTACGCAGCCCGATTCATAACCAGTATGCTACCAGAGTGGGGTTCAGAAAATCAAGGCTATGAGTCAATCACTGTCCACACCTGGTCCTATTCCTGGGCTACAACTTCCCCTTAAAGCTGGCAGGCAGCTCATCCTAGGCAGATCACCAAATCCCATTCTTATGCCAAAGTTGATGTTGACAATAATATCTTTGTAATTGACTCAACACCTGATTATTTTACTCTGTAGATATTTACCTCCATTCTCCCCATGAGCCCACAGCCCTCCAACAAGTGGGTCCCTGCTGGGTCCCATATGGGGAAAGAGAGACCGGTTCTCATCTACCAAGTCCATACCCCATATATAGAACAAATCACACGGAAATGGTGAGTTGTACATTCTAGTCTTGAAAGGTACACATGGGAAGACATGTGCATGCCAGACACTCACCAGCCCCCTCCTGTATACACATGGACATGCACACAATGTATACACATCCCAGGAAGGCAAATGAGCTCTGGAATCCAAACACAACATGTATTCCCACCAAAGGAGGCTGGGTTTCTTCTGAAGTGTTGCTAAATGCTGGCGTGAGTTATCCAGAGGTCCCTGACCGACTTCCTGTAGAGTTTTCCAATGGCCTCTGGAGACACACCTTCAGCTACCTGCTCCATGCCCGCTCCTATGGAGTGTTGGACCCAAGTCAACCTCATAGGCAGTACACAGAAGTGGTCCCTCCTTGCCCAGTGCATGCGGCCTGCCCAGAGTCACCATTTACAGATGCAAAGCTCAGAGAGGAGCTGCTCCCACTCAGGAGCTGCAGAATGCTGCTAGAATCCAGGTCCTCTGCCTCCAACATCCCAGGCTTCCTGCTGCCTGGTTTAAAGCTTAGTGTTGAGTGCCATCAAGTGTATTCCTTCTCATGGCGAACCCCCATGACTCAGTAAAAGTCCGTAGAGTTTTCTTGGCTGTAATCTTTACAGGTGCAGATTGCCAACTCCTCCCATGGAACTGCTGGTTCGAACCTCTGACCTTTAGTTAGCAGCTGTGTGCTTAACTCTTCCATCTACCGGTCAGATCAATGCAAACACAAGGATGACATGCTTATTTTCGGGAGTGGAGGCACCGTGATCCCTTTCCCTGATGTCAGCACAGCTGGAATGGATTTCAAAGATCCAAGGATCTTTGAAGGCAGCTGTGGTTATGTTGCAATGCCTGTTTATGCGTTGCTTTGTATTTATGTATGAATGCATGTATGCAAGGAAGTCTGCTGGCACAGTGGCTGAAGTGCTCACCTGCTAACCTAAAAAGCAGCAGTTAGAATTCACCAGCTGCTCTGTGGGAGAAAGCAGTCTGCTTCTGTAAAGAAGACAGCTTTGGCCATCCTATGGGGCAGTTCTAGTCTGTCCCGGAGGGTCACAATGAGTCAGAATCAACTCCATGTCAGTGAGATGCATGGATAAGCTGGGGCAAGAGAAAAGGAATAGCTCTAGGCTGGTCAGGGACTTGGCGGGCTATGTGATCAGGTGAAGATGCAGGCCTGAGGCCCACAGGGAAGACACGTCGTGGAGAGCCCACCTGGCTGAGCCAAATAAGACACAGCCCGTGCCCCTGGCACAGGATGATGCCTCCTGGCACAGTAGGCTAACTAACAGTTAATGTGCTCGACTACTAATTGAAAGCTTTTGGGGTCTGAGTCTACCAAAGGCACCTCCTCTCCAGCCAACAAGCTGTGTGCTTTTGGTCATTATGTTGCATTGTTCTGACCACCGCTGTGAAGGAAGAAAGGCCTGGAGATTGACTTCTGAGAAATTGCCCAGGCCTTTGTTATCCTTCCATCTTCATCCACTTTCCTGAAATCCAAACAGCTATGGTCGCTACTTCCCGGGACTCATCCAGGAATGTCTGAGAATAAACACAGAGGTGGAAGGGGCTCAGCCTTCTCAGAACTGCAGAACAGCTCATGGTCTTCTCAACGGAGATCTGAGCTCTAGAGTGCTTCTGGGAAGGCCAACGCCAAAGCCCTCATTCAGGAGGTGAGAGTTTGGAGAGAGAGCAGGTGGAGCCAGATGGAGGTGGGGCTGCCCTGCCCCACTCTCAAGACATGAAGGACAGCCTGGTCCCCTCACCTGGCCCAGGGCAGGAACTGGATCTAATTTTATGCTCTGTAGGCTGCAGCTGCTCAACATAGGCTTGTGTTTACCAACAGCGATGAAGGAAAAAGAGCCCCAGTTCCTCATTCTGAGGTCAGCCTTCTGGACCAGCGCTCCCTCCTCTCATCCCAGCTTGCTCTCTTTTGTGTCCCATGCTTGTTCTGGACGAGGTGACCTCATCAGGATGGCCAAGGGGCAGTGTAACTGTGACCAATGACTGGTGTCCTCTGAAGTCATATTCAGCCTCCCTGGCATGTCACCTGCCCTTGGATCACAGGGAAAGGCTGGACGATCCCTCCCAGAAACCAAGTAACGGAAGCATCCAACCGAAGGTGGCATGATGTGATGTCCACTCTGGCTCAAGCTGTCCTATCTGAGGAAAGACCTCTCCAGCTGACCCCACGCTGGAACCCGGCTCCCAACCATCTCCAAATTACATGGTGGCTGTCACTGTCCAGAGGGGTACTTCCCAGACTTCCACAGAGGCCTTGTGAATCAGGGCTCCTGGCCCCAGACAATCTTCTGTGAGGGAAGAGTGGGCAAGAGGAGAAATAGCCGAAGGCCCGGATATTGCTACTGGAAAATGCAGGCACACCCAGCCATTCACCTGACCGGCACCAGAGCAGCTGGCTACTCAAGAAGTGTCACTTCCTCCATCCGTCCAGTCCCCTGCACTGGACCCACCGGGCCTCCAAACGCTGGAGCCAGGAGGAGGTGTGGTCCCACTTGGCCTCTGCACACCTGTAGGTAGGTGAAGCCTAGTAGACCCTGCCCATCTCCTGCCAAAAAGTGAAGGTGAGAGGCCAGGGCGGCATAACGGTGGGGTTTCTGACAAAGACAGAAAATTGGTCTGGGCATGGGCCGGGGGATTACTACCTAAAAACACTGGTTAAAAAAAGAAAAGAAGAGTGTGATGGAACAATTGCAGAATTATCAGTCTCTGAAAACGCGTGTTGAAGAAATTCAGAACTGGAACTGCAGGCGTGCCTGAAAGGAGCCCAGGCTCCGTTTGCTGGCAAACACTTTACACTGGCTTTTTGCTGCTGCTTGGGGAGGCTGGCAGGCTAGAGACCAGGAGGCTGGCATCTGCTACCCATTTAAGAAAGGAGAGCTGAAGACTTCAGGCTCCTGTTGAATATGGAATGCGGGGCTCTGGTGCCCCTCTAGGCCATGCATTGGGCCAAAGAAGAGTTAAAAAGCCAGGTGGTGGGTGGAGGGGTGGGGAGGGAAGGTGACCCTGCCATTCATATGCATGGCACCTGGAGAAAATTGCTAGTGCTGACCTCTTTCAACGCTACTGCCCGGGCAGCCCCACACCCTGCCCCAGGCTCCAAGCAGAAAGGACAGGCACATTCACGATCCAATTTGTTACCCGGCCACCTTCCAGGGAGAGAGGGAGGTGAAAGAGAAAAGAAAAAAATCCCATTATCTTTATCTGTCCTTCCCATCAGGAGCAGGGTAAATGCAAACTGAGGAGACAGCTGCTACGTACCCTTTATATTTCACTCAGGAGATAGTGTATCTTTTTATTGCTACAGGAAT